AAAAAAAAAAAAAAAAACTCTTAAGATAATAATAATAATAATAAAAGTTAAATAAATAAGTTTTAAAAAAAACTTCATGTGTATGTGGGAAGGGTACAGTTAAGTTTTCCATATAACAATATATCATACACACACACGCACAAATATTTCTTTTTCTGTTTTAAATTTGCTACAGAGTAAATGCACTCACCAGAGAGACAGAGGGAAGATGAGAAATCATCCCATGGCAGCAGAAGGATGATGTTTCAATTCCTGACCATCCGTTCTCTCTTCAAGATTTGGAACACACACACACAGGCCACTGGGTCTGAGACTCGAACCGCGCAGTTGGCCAAGAGGGATCCAGCCACGTTAAGGATGACAACAGTGACTGGTGCCCTCCACACAGTATTTTTTTAATAATTATTTAATTGCATTTATTGATTCATTTATTTTAATTTGACCAGAAAGAGAGGGGTTAGAGTTAGGGTTAGTGAAAGTTAGGGAAAGTGAGGAAGCAAGCCACCAGACCTGGGACTCACGTTAACCACCATGCCACCTGCTGGTCCCCACACTCACAGTATTTCTAAAAGATGGTTTCATTTAAAAATACACGGGCAGATGGGACCAGTAGTTGACATAATGGCTATGTCGCTGGACTCCCATGTAGTCAACCGTGATTCGAGTTCCAGACCCGGTGGCTTAAACTCACATTGGGTGCATGTGTGTGCGTGCCCAAGATCCTAAGAGAATGGAGGAGAAGGGATTGTGGCATGGCCATCCCCCAGGGGGGTGATTTCTCACTTTCTGTCTTTCTGGTGAGCGCACACGCCCTATAGCAAAAAAACTCTCAAAAAAAAAAAAATAAACCACGGGCAGGGGCTGGCAGGCGGTGTGGTGGTTAAGGTAATGGACTCCCACATGGCCAACACAGTTCGAGTCTTGGACCTGGTGGCTTGCTTTCCCACCTTCCCTTTCTCTGTCTCTCCCTGGTAAAACTTAAAAATAACAACAAATGAAATTAAACTATTCTTTTTTTTAAAAGAAAAGAAAAGAAAGGCAGCGGGCCAACAGGTGGCGTAGTGGCTGAAGAGCTGGACTCCCACTTGGATGACTGCAGTTCAAGTCCCGGACTCCATGGCCTGAGACTCGTGCCAGGTGTACGTGCGTGTGTGCCCAAAATCCCAAGAGGAGAATGGAGGAGAAGGGGTTGCAGTATGGCCATCCTCCCTGGGAGGTGATTTCTCACTTTCTATCTGTCTCTCCTGGGAGCTCACGTACCCAATAGCAAAAAAAAAAAAAATAATCTCTCTAAAAAATATTAACTCATGGGCAGTGCCAGTGGTGAGCAGGGCCGGACCCACAAGGGTGGGTCCCGTGTGCGTGTCCTGGCATCTCCCTGTCCATACCAGGCAGGCGCACGCCTGTGATCCGGGCTGGCTGCTGGGGGTGGATCACAGTGTAAAGACCCTGCGGGAGAGAGGGGCTTCTCTCTCTCTCTCTCTCTCTCTCTCTTTCTCTCTCTGCATGTGTCCTTTACTCTCTCTCACTCATGGAGGAGATTACTAAACTAAAAAGGCTTGGGCACAAAGCCATCATGGAGAGCAGGCGCTGTGACGGGAACGTCAGGGAAGAGGGAGCCCTGTGCAGGCAGCTCTCTGCAGACGGCCGAGGCGACGCCAGCAGCACGCGTCACTGGGCTTCAACGCCCC